TTCCGGTAGGTTAATGTAGTTTTGTTTTCCTTAATGTAGTTGCGCTTTTAGATTTGTAGTTGCAGTTTGCACTTCAGGGCCACCGTAGGTTTGGTATAAAATGTATTAACATCAGGTGAGCCAATAATTGTGGGAGCAGAGATTTTGTTAAAAACAGCTTTTCATCACAGTGGAATTTCCTCGTCACTGAATACATTTACTCCAACTAAAGGTCAATCCTTTTTCAAAAAAGTAAAATCTGTCTGAGATGAAGTTCAATAAAAGATTCCGTTATTTTAAGGTAAACCTTCCAGTAAAGGAGCAGGAAAGATGGAGGATACCTGTTGGATGCGGTTGATCCGCCTCTCGTCCGTTTCAGCGATGAACAGCGTTCCCAGGTGCGACAGGGCGATGGCTTTGGCGGCCTCCAGCGTCGCACGCACCGCGGCTCTGCTCACCAGGTGGTGGTCGATGCCTGGGACCTGGCAGTGAATGGGACGCCCCGCCACTATCCGCACCTGAAGGCTCTCTGACACCTAAACACAAACACTTTCATTTATTCTCTGGGAGGCAGAGTGACGCTCAGGCGCTGCTCTCACAGCATCACCTGCTGATAATATAAGAGAATTTATTGATCCGGCACATCAAACATGGCCGAGCCTGATTCTGCTCCAGCTGCTGATAAAAAGCTCTGCTCATTAACTTTGCAGAATGAGTTCCATGACATTTGGTAATAAACAGCTCCTGTGGTGACCTGTGATGGCATCCTTTGCTTTTATCTATCTTGGCAGACTCACAATCTGGGTGGATCTCAGGGAGAGCGAATAAATGAGGAAATGTTTTCATATGTGAGGTTTATAAAGTGACTGAATAAGTTCAAGCGTCTCTTCTCTACCTGCAGAACAATGTTGTTGTCCAGGATGTAGAGCGAGTTGTCCAGCGGGTTAACGGCCAGATCTGTGGGCCACTCTAGTCGCACCTGCAAAGTCACACACATCATGTCAGACTGGATGCTTTTATAAAAGAAACTTTATAGAAACCTTGATGGCAGCTGCCCACAGGAGTCAGTTACAGGTAGAACAAATAATATCTCCTTAATAACATAGTATTAGGCCTCCTGACCCTCGCTGCTCATGCAAAGGTCAGCGGCGGGCAGGGAGCCTACCCCGTGTTTATTCAAGTCTCACACCGGCTCGCTTCGGCTGCGTTCCAAATGTCAACCAATAACCATGATGGTTGCCTGCTCAAATAGCACGCCGTGTCCGCTAACACTGCGGGGGTCAAAGCCCGCGCCGTCTCACCGCCGCCCACGCTGCTGTCCGTCTCACATAGCACAAACAAACTGCGAGCGACGGCGAGGCGCTGCGAGTGGCTGGGATGGTGGGGGGGGGGGATCAGGTGATTGATGACTCTCAGGATGGATTGGTAAATAAATGGATCATGTTAAATTGCCACTGACATGTCCAATTATAGGCTCTGTCAAATGAGAGAGGGAAGGAGGCTCGCTCCGAAATCCCATTTTAAGAGGTGGAGAGATTCATCAAGTGGGATTCAGCGCGAAGACGGCGAGCAACACGTCCCTCAGCCAAGACGGCGAGCAACACGTCCCTCTGCTTATGCTAATGAGGTGTAGCTGTGATGATGGGCAGCCTCCTCTAGAAACTATGCTGACCTGAACTCAGAGTCGGCTGATGTGGTGGAAGTCATATCAGATTCATTACAGACTGCCTGCCTCCTTTTTAGAAACGACACACATGCAGATCCAAGGTTGATCTTCTAGGTTGCTAAAAAGGCTTTAATAGTTTTTTATTTATTAGCATTTTACATTATTTTACATTCAGCAACATCTGCAAACTTAAAAAATAGAGATGCACCAATCTGATATCTGATCTGATATCCAATCCGACTAATCAGCCGATATCCGATCGTTCTAATTGGTTGACATCTGATCCAGCTAATTAGCCTGTTTTGGGCTAATTAGCTGGATTGGCTATTGGCTAACAATGTTAAAAACAGGCTAAAGCCGGTTTTCACTCACATGGTGAGCTATATGGTTCATTCATTCAGCAGTTGAACTTGATTGATTTGACTCAGCTCAGTTATTGGTTCAGAGAGGAATAAAATGGACGTCTTCTTCTTCTTCTCTGCTTAAACTGCTGTGTGACTTAATGAAGCTCTGAACACTTTGACCATTTATTAATTCAATCAGGAGGTCTGTAGTTTTCTCCAGCTCCGTGATATTGAGGTATGGCCCCTCCTCCACCTTCAGCTGTAGGCTCAATCCCTAACCGGCCCCTAAGCACTGACCCCCCCATTCCTGCAGAGGGTCAATCACACTAAGGGCTGTCCCAAACCCCAGAGTGGGTGGGGCCAGTGGAACGTTCAGCCCTTAAATAGAGAGTCTGCATCAGAGCAGCGCTGGAATATGGCAGCAGGTGTAACGGCGCCTGATGGCTTATGAGACGCCTTCCTGGTGACGTCATCACTACTGGTGCATCTTCTTCACTGACAGAAAATCAGGTGATAAACAAGACTGACGTTACCTGTCCATCCGTCCATCATCCATTCATCATCCATCCATCATTCATCCATCCATCCATCCATCATCCATCCATCATTCATCCATCCATCCATCCATCATCCA